GGTGCAAAGACAAGCCAGGCCGTTCTGTGCTGCGCAGAGAGCAACATTGCTCGTTCATGGTCAATGAAGTACTGCGACATGGAATAAAACACCAATGCAAACATAAAACTCTGACGTCTTCAAAACTCGGTCAAGAAATTATTTCTAAAAAAGGAAGAAAACACCTGCTTAGGCCCCAGCTGTGAACAAAAAGGGGGCATAAAACAACAAACTTTTACGTCAAACACATGACAGGACATACAGGCCGAGACAAAATACAGCTCACTGAACTCGGAAACCTCGAAAATTACGAGTGAGCGATTCATTAAAGAATTAATTAAACCAGTGTTAACAGACGTGGTGCGGGGATGTGACTGTCACAAGTCTGTCTGGCGCTGGGCACCTGAGCCGGTAGCACACCGCGGTGTTTCAGCAGGAACTGGGCAAAGGTATGCCTTTGTTTGAGTAGAGAGGGAAAGGTGCACATCGGCAAAATAACGGTCTTTTAGAGCGGGGAAAAGGACAAAATGGACAGATATAAACAATTGAGGGGAAAGAAGCTAGCAGAAAAACAACGTTCTAATACCGCCCTTCATCCGCCCACAGGTTGTGCCGTCGCGGAAGAGATTAAACTATACATGCAAATACATGTAGACCTCAAAGTAATGATAAAAAAACACATTTTCAAGAGACAAATATGGCAACTTCTCCCTACATTCTCACAAAAGAGATAAAAGTGACGTTAAACAAATGCCAAGTGGTTCAAAATGTATTGTGAAAAGTCACAAAGAACACGCAAGATCTGTGTGGGTGGCATTATAAGCATGTAGACTCACAGCAGTTATAGTGCTAAACAACAAAACAGCAACATAGTTATTATCGTGGAGAAGCAATTTAAAAAGAACAAAACGATGTTATAGAAAAACGAACAAGGAAGAGGTTACATTTCAGAACAATTTACCACTGAGGACAAAACGATAATTATCGTCAGGAAACTAGCGGCATTTATTGTCAGTGTTGCTGTCATTGTAAAAGTCAATATTGTTCGTTAGTGTTCTTGTGTTTGCTGTTCGCAATAGTTGTCATTGTTGTTGTGTCTGGTGATCCAGTTGTCATTATTATTGTGGCAGATGTGGTAGTGGCTCCTTTACCACAGTTGTAACATACCATATTTGTATTTTTTCAACAATATTGTGATGTGCGGGTATATTTAAACTTTTGTTCTTCGGGTACGTATCGGGACGTATGCGTTAGGGTTAGCGACTCTACACCCACGCATGCA